TAAATAAACGCGAAATATAAAAAAATTCAATGCATTCAATACAAACACTTAAACGTTTTTCAGACGTTTAGGTAGCTCCCAGTAGAAAAATATCAATTCAACAGCGGCCTTGTAAAGCATTCTCACTTCAATTAATTAATTAATTCCTAATTGAGTTTAAATTAAATATTGTCATGTTTTTAGTACATGAATCTGAATTGAACAACCTGATAATGCTCACTCTGGTTATTGTTATCTGGTTGATCACTATGTGCTCTTGCGCGCCGAATCCAATCAATTAAAAATGAAAACTGTTGCCAGCGCGAGAAAAGAAATATCATCGGTTTTATTGATACATACATACGTACGTACATATTAGCGTTTTATATAACATAGATTGCTTTTAAAGTACATAAAATTAATTACTCTTCATTGGATATCTTACAAAATTGTCTTTAAAAGTTTAGGATGTTTAGCTTGAACAAAAATAACTGCGATTTTACTTAACCTAACACTGATGTTTCTCCTAATCTATCTTCAGCAGATATTAAAATATCGAATAAATATAAAAATATCAACGAATAAATTAATATTAAATCAGATATAACAAACATTTTGGACATTTACCAATGCGACTATGTGATTGTCGACATTTTGCTGTCTTTATTGTGTTACATTATTTTCAAAAATCATTACTCACCTTCTTCGATTGGTGGGAAATCTAGTTCTTTATCGCTACCACTTTCAGAGTCAGAAAAAACCTAAATAAAAATGCGTTTTTTATTTTTATAAATTTAGTGTTTATTTAAAAAAAATAAAAAGGTGGCTCTCACTAGACTTATTATACAATTATGCTTATTTAGAACGTAATCAACTAAAATTTCTATTCGATCTATAGCAAAGTCATAACTGAACATTGCATAGCAAGTCTGCTGAGATATTACAAGTAAACAAAACTTTTACTTTCAAAGGGTAGATAAAACTTAATAACACACGTAGAAAAATCAAGCCAAAAATGAGTAACACTTAAAAAATTATAATCAGTGGTCAGAAAAATCGAAACTACTGTAGTCGCCACTCTTTTCCGTAGTTTGTAGCGTAGTGCAATAAAAAAAAACAGTAAATTGTAGCGCTTCCTTTCAACTACTTTTAACGTTAGATAAATAAGGAAACAAATTTCAAACGCAAAAAATTTTTTAAATCTGATTGGTGCAAATCCTTAGCGGACAAGTCAACGTACGCAATGAGAATGCCTCTGCCGCGGAGCGTTGATAAGATCTAAGTCTGATCCTCAGAAAAATCGGTCGAGTTGTTCCCGAGAAATTGAATTTTATATATATCTGAGCTTTTTTAAAATTAAATTTCACAGGAAGTATTAAGTACGTTTTTTTTGTTTGATTTCGTAACTTAAAATATTGTCTGCATTATTTAATTAGCATGATTGCGGTCACTCCCTCAAAGCATTAAGATTAAGTCCTAGAATGTGAAGATCTGATCATTAGATCAAAAGTTATTCAGAGTGATTCTTTTTCTGTTTTTCGCACTGTACTTTATCCATTGAAGGATATAAAAAAGCATTGATCACCTAAATCACAATACTTGATAATTTCCTAGCATTTCTTAAATCACTATCGAGAAAAGCATAGTTTGAAAATTAAAATTTGTAAAAAGTGCTTTAGAATAAAAAACTATTTCATGCAAACATAAATTAAAACGTCTTAACATCTCCTCCTATTTAACCGAGACAATTTTTTTACTCAAAATAATTTAGAATATTGTTGAAAAGTAAGTTATCCCGTTAAGTTTGTCTTCTAAAAGTAGCAACTGAATTTCGAAAGTAGATTGTAGTTGCTACATTAAAAAAAAGTAGTTGTAGTTACAGCTACAATTGTAATAAAATAGTTGTAGTTAACTACGAAGAAAATTTTAATTTCTTCCGACCACTAAATAATATGCATAATAAAAGTTTAATTAGAACTGAAAAGAATAAACACACAATCTTATAAGAAACGCACTCTTGAGTTACAGATGGGCTAACTAGGCAATCATTGAGTCAAAGTACTCAAATTACTTACTTAAGACCCAGCAGATCACCGAAGTCAAGCATCACTGGCTGCGGTCAGTGTGCGGGTGGGTGATCACTTGGATCAGTCTGCGTAGGGACCGAGGGTGTGCGGTATTGGTCCTCGTTAAACTGTGCTACCGTAAAGTGCTCAACTTCGCGCGCAGGTCGTCGAGCTACCGAAGCGGGGGTGCCATCCCCTCCGCAGAGGATCAAAATTGTGATTGCATGTCTTCAGATCATCCTCCGGGATGCTTCCCAGACCGGCCCCAATAGCCCATTGTGCAGCTCTAGTGCGACGTAAATTAACAACAACAACTTACTTATACCTCTTCGCTTCGTAGGGAGCATAGGGCTTTTGTCATGACTCGCACCCTATTGGTGGTCCAGCACTTAATCTCTCTCCACGTTTATCTTCTTTACTTTATTTATATTACTTCAGCATCATTTTAGGTCCACCCTTCTTTTGTTTACCCTAGGGAACCCCATCCCTGTTATACATCGAATTTTTCGGTTTTTCTGTCAGTATGTCCAATTTATTGCCATTTACGTTCTTTGATTGTGAATAATTTATTGTTAAATATTTTGTGAAACCATTTTGTATTAAGAATTCTTCTGATACATTTATTGATAAGAGCCTGTAACTTACTGGTATTTCTACTAAATTTCTTCCTGCATGCCCAAAATTTATTTAAAATAGCGAAAATACTGAGTGCTTTGTTAGCAATATCTTGATCTATACCTCCTAGGTTGAAGTAATCAAATACGTGGCCTAATTTTGAGTTATACCTCCTAGATAATCCTATTTCTGATTAGATTTTGGGTATTGAAACTTAGTAGGCTAAAAAGTTGAGCCCAACATAAAACATTATCTAGACTTGAAAATTGCTTTAACATGTTGACTGCCGCATGTGTTTACAGTGAAATCTCCTTCAGGTCAGGAGTACAGCTGTACAAAGCATATTCCGCTAAGTACTCTCACCAATACTTTAATAATGTGAGTCTCTGGTGGTCACAAGAATAATATCTCGTTCCATTTGTTTCCATGGTATTGTGTCTGTTAATTTGTGTCCGTTGCTTTGCATATGCTTCGCCACTTTACACGATCAGTTTGAATCTTTGCTGAGTAAAGAGGAGTAGAACTTAAAATTTATACTAAGTCGTTGAAATTTTGAAAATAAAAATGGAAAACTTATTTCTTAATGAGTCAAATAGCAGTGAACAAGAAAGCTTTTACAAGGCTCACAATAATTTTGTTAATAAATCATTTTTGTATTACTTTTATAACAATTCAATAGTTTTGTTAATTCCACACCAAGAAATGATTAGGTGAGCTGGGAACTGAATAGAAATTTTATGAATCACAAAAATATAGCTTGTCAAAACCGGGACTTTATCGTTAGAAGCGAGCTATGCTCCAATAGATTTAACATTGCACAAACCACGTCTCTCCGATTTCTTCGTTAAATCCGGGTACTCATTAAGAATGAGTGGGACTGTACAGAGTGTTTATAAAGTCCCGGACCCATTTTGATGTTTATTAACTCATAAAATAATAAAGATAGGTTAAAATTAATAACATAAATGGTTAGATAGACTCAAAAAGTTTCATGATCCTTGTCAATGAACTTCCACCTGTGTCCCCTTCGTCGCATGGAGAATATCAAGTCGATAGTCAATTTCATGCCGGGTAGCGGCAAGTGTTATGAGTTATTAAACATCAAAATGGGTGTTTCTGGCATTGTTAATTGGCATAATGTGCGCATATGTGGATCTGAAAACCCCCATGAATACCGTGAGACACAAAGGGATTCCCCAAAGGTTAATGTGTGGAGTGGACTAATGCACGACCGAGTCATTGGGCCTTTCTTTTTTACAGAAAAGATGGTCTCACCAGTCGTATACTTAGACATGTTGGAAAACTTCGTATTTCCACAACTAGAAGTGCTTCAGTCACATATCTTTTTGCAACAAGATGATGCACCCCCTCATTGTGGTATCATTGTTCGTAGATCTTTGAATGACGTTTGTCCAGGAAGATGGATTGGGCGAGAAGGTCCAATTCCTTGGCCACCCAAATCACCTGATATAACACCGCTGGACTTTTTTCTTTGGGGATTTATAAACGACAATGTTTACAGGAGGATCGTGTCGAACATTAATGACCTAAAATCCAGAATTACAACCGCAATAGCCTCTATGGATGCCGCCACCTGGCTTGAAATTGACTATCGACTTGATATTCTCCGTGCGACGAAGGGGGGACACGTGGAAGTTCATTGACAAGGGTCATGAAACTTTTTGAGTCTATCTAACCATTTATGTAATTAATTTTAATCTATCTTTATTAATTCATGAGTTATTAAACATCAAAATGGGTCCGGGACTTTATAAACACCCTGTATATTGTTTTACTTGCTCTATCTATTAGTATAGTTATACTATATAATTATTAGTACAGTTACACTAAATATTATATAAGTGTTAGTATAGTTATATAGTGTTCAGTCACCAAGTTTGCTTGGAGTTCAAGCAATAGGGGTTCCGCACGTGGCTGACCACTCAACCAGAGCATTTACTCCTGTGCCTCAAAGTCCAAGGTTAAGAAAACGGGGATGGGCTAAGTAGGCCTAGGCCCTCCATGGGCATTTGCGTCACTGAGTCATGTTTTTTAATTTTACTTAAGTAAACAATTGTGAAACAACTCACGGAGAAATTATGGTAATTAATCCCTTCTTTTCTCTTTCTTCTAGACCAACATTTGTTCATACACGGATAGGGCCAAATCAAGAAGAAGACAATATTCAAAAGAAAAATAACCTCATTTCGTAATGCCTTTGTACGATATTTTCTGTAAAAAAAAATTATCAATAAATAAAAATTATTATTATAGAAACATTGTTTTAACAGCATAAACTATACACAATATTTCAATTTAGAATTAAATTACAAATTTCACCATCTACATAAGCTCTACATATCTTAATCCATTTTGAGTATTTTTATAACATATTTTATGTCTTAATCGAGTCTTTAGCAAATAATATTTACTAACAGCAATGTTAATAACATTTAAATATTTACTAACAGCAATATGAACTGATTTATCATTATCATATTTTGCTTTTAAAAGTATTAAACCCTTGAGTGCTAATAATTAAGGCAGAAGTTTCAGAAAGAGATGCCAAGAGTTTGTTGCACCAGGGGACAAATTCAGTTTGGGTGCCCATTTGCAAGATATCATGCTTCAAGTATTTTCTTAGAAGTTAAAACCCAACTATACCAAAATTTCTTTATTTAAAAAGATTTTTTAGACAGATTCAATAGAAAGCAAAAAAAAAAATTTTTTTCCTTTAAAATTTTTACAATTACTATGAAAGACTTAATTATTAGACCGAAAGGTTGAATTGAAAGACTGAAATGCATTAATAATGCTTAATATAATTAAAAAGTTAAAAATTACTATTAAAATACTCAATATTTCTAACTGGTTATAATTATAACAAACTAATCACTGAATGCATAAAATCATTGTTATTTCTGTTGAACTCTCATAACAAAGGTCCAAACCTTCAGTTAGACATCAAGGGAAGAATAAATTAATTTAGATCGGGAAACAATAACAAAAAAATATTATAAAATATACTATTGTCTTGTATTCTTTTTTAATTAATCTATAACATTAATTTTTCATTAATTCCTTTATAACTTCTATAATTAATCTACATCATTAATTAGAAATATACACTCCATATTTAATAAGTTTTAAAAAAAGCATAAAACTAAACAAGTTTAATATGTTTAATAAAGAGTAAATTATTTTATTTACAGCTAATGGAAAATTATAATTTAAAATTTCACATAACTTTCAGCGACAGTTTGTCTTTTTTTAAATAATTATTAATGGTCTATTTTGAATATCAAATAATAATTCCCATACATCTTCTTTCATTTTCTAAATAAAACCTTTAGTATTAATTAAATCAAGTAAAAAAAATCATAGCAATAAAAACATATTTGTAAATTATAGCAGCATAAAAGGTAATGACTTAAAGATTTCTTTAAAAAAGTAAAGTGATTTAATTCATGTCAACCATGTTCATATTTAAAGCACTAATTTATACAAATTTTCACCAGACTCTTGTAATCACATATCATTCTTATGTGTAGTAGAATTGATAAGAAATTCCCTTTTCTGTAAAACTGCCATATTTTAAATAGTAAACCAAAAATCTTAATTTGAAGACAGATGCCAGAAATCAAATATCAACAATAAAAAAAGAAGTTAGAAGAACATTTTTATTTCCCCTTTATTACAAATATTAAATAAAACATAAATACAGTGAAACCTCCGTTAAGCGGACAATCATGGGACCAAAAACTTTGTTCGTTTATGAGAGTTGTCCGTTTACGGGAAGGGTACCCTAATAACGAAATTTAACACCGTAAATTGTTTTTAGAATATTCTCAAAGATGTAGAAATAATTAAATAATATCTACAAGGATACTGTAAATATCTACAAGAATATTTATTTAAACAATATAATGCATGTGACTCTGCAGAATTAAAGAGAGCTATGTACAGTGCTACTTTTAGCCATGAGGTTGAAGAGTGGTGCAAATTGAACCTGGATAGCCTTGTTTGTGTTGCAGTTGGATCCAAGTAAGTTTTTTAAAATTCTTCTTTGGTTTTTTTCTCCTTCGTTTTTCAAAAAGTATAATAAAATAAAAATATTTTATTTATACACTGGTTATCATAAATTAAGGAAAAATCACAAAAATAGCGATAACTCTTTCAAAAGTAAGCCAAACCGTGCAAAATTTGCATATGTTGTCCACTAAGAGTAGCTGAGTAAAATTGCAATATGCAAATTAGTGGCGCTGCACTCGGCTTACGTCATCTGCCTGGAGCATAAAAGTCCAAGTTTGAGAGAAAGCACACAAATTTTACTGTGATTGCGACATTGAAAATCTGAGATAGCCAATTCGTAATAATGACCTCTAGGCATCATTT